ACTTCTACAAGCATGAGTCTAGACCGACCCCCCCCACCCACCCACCCCTATCTCCCATGCCCTCCCTTCACAGAAAGATCCATGACCCACAAAGCCTTTATTAGCTCTTTCAGCTCCATTTAACTACACAAATGGCTTGGTCACAGCTGACTGATCCCAAATTTGCCAGTGATTTTCTTTTAATTTACCATGGCTCAGTCCCCCTGTAATACAGGTAGAGGAGGCATATTTGTTCCCAAACTCCCCTCCTGGGGTTAATCATGCACAGAACAAAACTCCATTTGAGCCACTTAATGATTTCATTTCCACCCTAGGTTTGAAGGAGCTGCGACTATAATACTAATGTAGGTCCCTCTCTCCCCAAACTCCAGATGTTTGTATGTGAGAGAGCTGTGGGGGCTTGTGAGCTCCTTAACCATTACCTCCCAAGTCAGAGCCCAAAACTGTAGGTCTCCTTTCCTTTCTGAGTGCAGTGGGCTCCCCTCTTTTCCAAGTGCCTAAAGCTGGAACCCTATGCACCTCTCCTCTCTCCAGAGAAGCCTTGCCTGACCAGCATTGCAGGTTTGGCTCATCTTTTCCTTGGCGTCTTGCAGCAGGTTTCATGGGCTTGTTTTGCACCCACCTGTGGGATCCCCACCTATGCACTACTCAACCTCCCTACCCACTATTCTCCCCACCATATCCTGCATTCCAAACATTCAGGCCCAGGTCCAATGCCCCAAACATTCTGAATGCCTTCCCATTTGAGTATTCTCTTTGCCTAAAAGAACCCTCCTTCACTACAACAGCCTGGCAAATCCTCTACTTAAATGTCACCTCTGCTGGGAAGTCTGCACCTTTTCTCTCAAGCAGAGAAAATCACTCCCTCTTCTGCTTTACCATATATACCCTCTTGGTTCATTTACACACAACATTGAAAATTTGTTTGCATGTCAGCCCCTCCACCACTCTGAGCTCCCTGAGGATAGATGACAGAGTATTCATCTGGGTATCTCCATACTCTAGCACAATGCTGGGTGTAAACACTCAATAATTTTTATTTGAATGAATAGCCCCTATATAGTTCATGTATGTGGATGTGAACTGTACCCATCATTAAACTGAGATATTCAAAGGCCTTCCATCTGTTTGGACTTCCCAAATCGTGCTAAAATTTAAATCCTGCCACGCACCCACGGTCTGACTCAAAGGAAAGACCAGTTCACCTTCAGAAAATGATTTTGTGTGGAAATGGCGCCATCTGGTGGTTTCTGGCAAAACAGCCTCGTAGGTGGGTAGTGAAGAGGGCTTTGTCCCTTCACAAAATGCAGCCCTGGCAAGGTAATCACCACTCCTTGCCTTCCCAAGATAATGAGTGAGGGGTTGAGAAGGCAAGGTCACATCCAGGACTGCTGAAAAAGGCCTGCTTACTTCTTGCCTACCTCTCTCCTCCTGCAGCTGTCGACTCCCCACTGCAAGCCCAGTTCTGTCTATCCGTCATCCACCTGCTTGACATCACCACTGAGATATTCTACAGGGGCCTAAATCATTACCCAAACTTAACTTATCCCCCCAAACCAAGACTCCCCTATCTGAGTAAGTGGCAGTTCCACAGACAGCTGCACCCCCAGGACTTTTCTTCTCCCCAGTTCTTCTGGTGCCACACATCACCAAGTCATGTCTGTCCTGTTCAAATCCTTTTGTTCCTCTACATCCCCTCACCTCCCCAAAGAGACCTCTCCTGAGGTCCCTGCTTCCACCCAGTAGCTCAGCCCGCCTCTACATATGTGATCCCCTTCTTCCTCCAACATTCCTGCACTTTTCATCTTTGCTAAGACAAGGCCCCCAGACCATATGGCCTGGCCCTGGCCCCCTCTCAACAGCTTCCTCTGTGGCCTTTCTTCCTCCTGCTCCCATCCAGCTATAGTGGCCTTTTGGCATTTTCTCTGTCACATCATACTCTTCTCATCCCAGAGCCCTCTCACCTACCACTGCCTAGCTCTGCTCCTCTGTCCCCTGGCTGGTCAACTCCTACTTTGTCCTTTGCCCTCTGCCTCCCCACTGGGGCAAGCAGGCAAGCAGGCTGGAAGGGAAAGGTGATGGAGAGGGAGAGTGCAGGCATTCCTGACCTCTGGGAGTAGTGGGGCATGGTGGATAAGGACGTGTCCTACCTCCACCTCTCTCCCTTCTACAGTGTCTTACTGGCCAAGGCTCACTACCACAATCAACCAAAATGACCCTTCCCCCAGCTTAGCTGCACAATGGAATGGTTAAGGGCACTGGATGGCTGTGTGACATCAGGAGAGCTACTTAACCTCTCTGAACTTCCAGTTCTTCGTCTGTGCAATGGGGATGATGATTTTCAAATAATCAAAAATAAATCTCTTTTATTCTCTGATTAGGGCAAGTTCCCATTATATATAGTACTTCTCCTTTATAGTAACTGTGAAAATTGTGACTGTTTAAAACTTATCAAAACCTATCAAAATGAAGTTGAAGAGAGCAGAGAGAGGGTGGGTCCTACTTATTGTTTCATTCCCCAGGCCTAGCCCAGGCCCACACATAGTACAACAGTGTGGCTGAGAGAGAAGTTTTGGGAGCCAGAAGCCTGGCCATGTTCTCACACTCTGATGTCACCAAAGTAACTCAAGATACTCGGTCTTGTGTTGTCTCCTTTCATGTGGTAATAGCATCTATATCAGAGGGCTGCTTGGATAGTACATGGCACACAGTAGGTGCTCAGTCCACGTTAGCAGACACTCAATAAAGACCTGAATAAGACTTGCAATTTCCAGTCTAATATGTAAAGAGCTTGCAATTGTCACTCCCAATCTTACAATTAGAAAAAAAAACGAACAAACCAAAAACCAACAATAGTTCCTAGATCCATCAGAGAATTTAGGTCAAAGGGCAAAATGCTTACCAGAGAATTGGAGAGAGAGACAGGTTATTATGGAGAATTACATCTTAGACACAGTAACCTCTAGGAAACAGCATCAGAGTAGGGAAACTTAAATGTAATTGATGAATTGCTGGTGGCTCAATGTGGACAAGCTTGAGATTTAATAAGTCCAGGGGCCCAATCTTAAGAGGCCCTCCACTTCTGAGTTTTCCCTCCAGAAGCCCAACCAGGTTCTCACAGTAAAGATTAGAACCCCTCCTTCTTGCCCACCTCAGCAAAGGGAGAAGAAAATAGCCATTTTGAAACACGTCCAGAGCATTCTGTTCTCCTTAACAAAGGCCTGTTCTCAAGGTAGACTGTTTTTTTCCAGAGCCTACCCTGAGGGAAGGAAAACATCCAACTGTGGCCCTCTCTGGCCTTCCTGCCTCTCCTAACGTGGAGGTGGGGGGAGGGGAAAGGTGAGCTGGACACAGCCAGGGGCACAGGCTCCCTAAGAGACTGACACCTGATCAGAGGACCCTAGGACCTTCCCCCTCTCCTCTCAGACCTCACCACCACATCACTAGTCCCCTATAGAACAATGGGCAGTTGGGGGGGGGGGAGGGGAGGTTCAGCTGAAAGAATTATAAGTCTCAGACCCTTTTTAAGAAAGAACCTCTGGGGAAACCTAACAACAAGGAAGACAAAAGCAAGGGGACAAAAAGAAATGCTAGTCTCTGAAACTACAGCTGCTGGAGAGAGGAAATGCAGCCTAACTCCTAACCAGATAAACATAAAACCTCACACTGTCTGTCTGGGCTTCTTTATCTCATGCAGCATATCTGGCTTTCAACAAAAAATTATGCTATATGATAAAAGGTAAAAAAATAAATAATAAATAATAAAAAATAAAAAAACATACAGCTTGAAGAGACAAGGCAAGCATCAGAACCAGACTCGAATAAGGCAGAGATGTTGGAATTGTCAGACTGGGAATTTAAAGCTATAATAAACATGCTAAAGAATCTGATAGAAAAAGTGGACGATACACAAGAATAGATGGGCAATGTAGGCAGAGACAAAGAAAACCCTAAGAAAAATCACAAGGAGATGCCAGGAATAATAAATCCTGTAATAGAAATCAAGAATGTCTTTGATGGACTCATCTGTAGACTAGACAGAACCAAGGAAATAAACATTGAGTTCAAAGAAATGCCAACAGAAAGTTCTGTGACTAAAAAGTAAAGATAACAAAAGGAATGGGAAAAAATGGGGGAACAGAATGGGAAAAAAAACTGGGGCAATTATAGAAGGTACAATGTATGCATAATGAGAATACCAGGAGGAGAAAACTGAAGAGAACAGAAAAAAAATGGTCAAAGTAATAGTAGTTGAAAATTTTGCAATAGCGGACCCCATACAACAGATCCAGGAAGCTCAGAAAACCAAGCACGGTAAACATTCAAAGCTCTACACCTACACCTACTCTACACCTACACCTACTCTACACCTCGGCATAGTATATTCAGACTGCATAAAATCAAAGACACGGAAAAAAAATTCTTGAAGCCTGAGTAGGAAAAAATCCTTACCTAAAGAGGAGCAAGGATAAAAATTCCATGTAACATCCATTCTTAAGCCATGCAAGCAAGAAGAGAGTGGGGCACGTATTTAAAGTGTTAAAGACAAAAAAAAAACCCTAGAATTTTATGTCCCTCAAAATTGTCCTTCATGAGCGAGGTAGAAATACCTTCTCAAACAAAACTCAAGGCAAATTGTCTCCAGTAGACCTGCCTTACAAGAACTATTAAAAGTTCTTCAGAAAGGGAAAGGAATAAGTCAGAAACTTGGATCTACATAAAGACAGGAAGAGAGCTAGAGAAGAAATAAAGATAAAATAAATACTTGAGTGAAACAAACAAGGCACACTTCCCCCAGAAATCCTCCTGTCCTGGCCTAGCCCAGCACCCCTTCTAGTGTTCCAGGAGCACCCCACATGGCCTGCTGACACAGCTCTGTTCTGGCCTGTCATCTGCCTCCCCAAAAAGCTGCAAGCTGTGAGTCCCCAGAGCCAAGCCCATGAGGTGCTCAGAGCCTGATGAATGAATGGATGGCAAAGCATTCACACCAGAGACCAGGACAGTGATTAAATACCATGTCTCTTTATTAGCAGTTCAGCGGGAAGATTCCAGTGTTGCACTGTCACAAGGAAAGGCTCACCCACCAGATTCTATCTCCCCAGGTGTAGTCGCTCCTCAGGTCAAGGGGTAATAGACGTTCTTCTGACACAGGCTGTTCCTTGACCCTAAAGGACATGAACCTGGGAAGCAGAGGATTGCATCAGAGAAATGCAGGGGTGCATCACAGATATGCAGGATGGCTACAGGGCTTGATGATCATGCCTCCAAAGCCCACAACCCCAACACTCATTGAGGTGCACCTAGAGCAGAAAAACCCATGGAGGGAAAGGACGATAGTGTATCAGACAAAGCGGGGGTTGAAACTTGGCTTTCTTCAAACTTGAAACTTTCCATTTGAATTGACCTATTTTGAAAATACAAATTGAAATCTGCTTCTTCAAACTTCAGAAGACCCTGCAAGCACCCCAGATTCCTTATCTCTTTAATATGAGTAAACAATTGACATGGCACATCATGTCATTTACTAAGTGCTGGAAGCCATTGTCCTCAAGCAATGTTCTAAAGTCTGAAAAAATTGAGGCACATGGAGTTGGACTAAAAGCCAGTATCCTGTGCCATCTGTATAGTGGGTTTGAACAATGCCCTCCTCTTAAGGTTCTTTTGGATCAGATGATAAATCTTGACAATGCCTTGTGCTGAAGCTGGTATACAATAAGAATTCCATAAATGCCAGTGCTATATCTCCATAGACTTCCTTGAAAGTATGTTGGGGTTCTACTGTGTTTAAATCACTCCTTCAGTCCCCTATGACATCCAGTTCAGTCTTCACACCTGACAGGGGTGCAGTAACCTTTTCCTGAATGGATGGCCTCTGTAGTGCATCGACTGTCATTGGCCTTCCACCTACCAGAGCCATGTAAATGGCCACTATTGTGACCACAGGTACCAAATGCAGGCCAAGAAGCCATGGGACCCAAAGCCAAGTCCCAACTGGTGGAAGGGTCAAAACATATATGCCCTCACTCCTGACCCCAGTGCTCTGTGACCTTGTGGTTCAAGTAGGGTCAGTAGACCAACAGCAGCAATGCCTTGGGGTGTTAAAAATGCAGAGCAGCAGGCCCTCTGACAACCTACTAACACAAGATCCCAAGTGGTCCCTTACCTGTTCCAGGCTTAGAAGCACTCACTGTGACACCACAGCTAAAAGTGTCAGAGAGGTCAAATCCTGAACTTGACTTCAAGTCCTTTCAGAAACTTTAGAAAGGCATTGCAGAAGCCTAAGGTAACCTCACCAACACTCCCACTGGCCCCAAGTGTAGGCCTCCTCACCAAAATGAAAAGCTAAACTTTATAATCAAACTTCCACCCAGGACACTGTCTCACACCCAGGACAGCATCTTTTCCTCAACTGTTGGCCCTCTCACCTGTAGCTCTCAGCAGTCTGCATAGGAAGTTCTGTTGTGAATCTCCTGAGATGATTCATCCGTAAGATTGCATAGGCTGCAGATGAAGAACACGGCAAAGGGGAGGCTGCCAGATGGCAAAGCTTACCCAGAGTGCACATCCAGATCATGGCGTGGAGCTGAGATGCCCACACAGCCCATGCCTGAGCCATTGCCCCATTCGGGTCCTGGAGCAAAGTCCCACAAAGAGACACTCAGCCAAGAAGGGCTTCAGGCATGGCCATGGAACCCAGGTGTGGTCTGGAGCCAGGGAGACCCACAGAGGAGAGGCTAACAGCCACCCCCATCGCCACTTGCCCCCAGTTAGGAGTACAAATCAACTTGTCCCAAATGGCTTACCTTCGTCTCACCTGCTCTATTCGGTCTCGCATAACATCCTCCCTCACCTCACTTGGCACTTGGAAGATACGGGTATGGCTGAAAAACACCATTCAAACATTTGGAATTCCTGAGTTTCTTTATCACTAAGCATAGTGAATGGGTTGGAATCATATAAACAATATTCTGTCGCCATGAAATTTTGATCTTGTCCTTCACTCCTCTTTCATGAGGCACACAAGGGTTGTTTTGTTTTGTTTTGTTTTGTTTTGTTTTACTATCAAGTACCCCTGAGCCACTCAATAATCCTGGGTAGGTAGCAAATGGTCCTAGGGAAAGTCGAAGAAACAGAAAGTTTAAGTGCCTTTACTAGAGTTGCACAGCAGGTGAGTAACCTTGTAAGACATGGAATTCACTCCTTCTGAATTCCTCTCCAACTTTCTTATCAGCTCTTTATGACCTACATTGTGCCATATTCACTATGGTTTAGAGATAATTGTAGAAAATTCTGTCACAAAGAAGCTGCAGACCATTCATTGCTGCTGTTGTTTTATTTCACCATGCTGACTTGCCTTCCTCTCTGTGGTACAATTCATGCCCCCCTCAACTCTATTCTTCCCCCACAAGTCCTTCACTCCAGCAAAACCAGTGTGTCCACTATATCCTCCATTTTTGCATCTATTAAAATTGCCTTGTTCTAGGTGCTCTGGGGCTTTCAATGTGAAGACTTGAAGTCTGGGAGAGATAAATGTGCTCATTTACCACTCACACAAGGTAGAGCTGGGTCAGTGTCCAAAGAGAGGCAAGAGAGGATAAAGGAATTCCAGAGAAGGGAGAGATTACTCCCAGCCCAAGGCAGAAAGCAGGAAACCTCAGAGAAGGGGCCACAGCACTGGGCACTGGAGGCCAGATGGAATTGGCTAAGTTGCCAAGGCTTTCGTGATCTCTTGAAACACCCCTCATTCCTGCTCCTGTTTATCCTGTCCCTGCCCAGCTTATGGGTCAGTCCAAGCAAATGTCCTGCTAGAAACCTCTTCTGGCTACTCCAGGCAGCAATGCCTAGAGCTTGTGCAAGCTGGGTCTCCCATGCTATGCTCTTATAGATCCTCTTCATGGCTTTTCTGACATTTTCTCTAACATTTGCATACCTTATCCACCTAGTTCACTTTTATCCCTTGGAAACGGGGAACTCCATCTTATTTTCTCTCTCTTTAGAAGTCCTAGCAAACATCTGGTGGTCATCTACCAAATAAATGAGTATCCACTGATGCTTAATGAAGGGATATGTATTCCCTGACTACATATTTACTGAACCTAATAAAATAATACCAAAACTAGTGGATTATAGGGGAACCAGTCACAGTTTATGGATTTAAAAAATCCACAGAAAGTCCAGAGTGGAAAAATTATACATGGATAATTGACTGTAGGTTGTCTCCAAAGCTTGAATCTAGTTATGCCATACAGCTAATGTTTAAAAAATATCTGAAGATGATGTTCATATTATCCAGACCAAGGAATTGCAACATTTACAATTCCATATAGTGCAGCTATGTCAGGCAGGGACAGTCTCCCACATGCACGGCAGTGATTGTATACAGTCCCCAACATTTATGATTTTAGAATACGTTTCCCATCCAAAAAGTCTTTTCCAAGGAGGTCTCAAATTCCATTATTTGCTACCCTTTCCTATTACATAATTACTGAGCATTTGAATACTGTTTTAAAATGCTAATGACACTGTAAGGGGTAAACAGAGAAAACTGGATATCCCTCAGCAAAAATACATTTCTTGAGAAATATGTCCTCCTTCGTAGAGGTGAACAAAGCTGGTGATGGAGGCAGGAGAAGGAAGAAAAGAGTACAGAAATGAGAGGGGAGCTGTTCCACAGTTTCCAGGAGTACCTGTTTAATCCCACATTTCTTTGGCTGGGAAAAGAGACCCTGAGTGAACCCTAGTCCTGAAGGAAATAGGGACGCTCATGCCAGAGAGAATGAGCTGGCTTCCAGGCCCATCTCCCTCCACCTCAGGTCTCAGCCCTTCAGAGCCAAGAGAGGCAGATGCAGGTGGTCTGTGCTCCAGCAGGCATAGCAGGAGGCTGGCAAAGCCACCATAATGTGAAGCACAGAATTCTAGCCTTGGGCACTGAGAAACCTCCTCTCACCTCAGCTGCAGATGAGGGCTCAGGCTTTTGCATTTTAAGAGCTTATTTTCTTTTTGCTCTTTAAAGTACAGCCACTTCTTAACAAATCAAGTGCAAAAGTAACAGAAGTCTAAAATTTATTCAGAAGCATTTAAGAAACGGTGAGCAAGCCCAGTTTTGCAACCCCTCAAGTCATGCTAAAACTTAGGAATGAGCTGGGCTTTCAAGATAGCAAAAATATTCCCTTAAGACCCCAAAGACTGAAAAATTTCTCAGCCAAAAAGTCAACATCTCTGGAGAAGAATAGCTGTGAATTTGTGTTGGCCAGGTATACTGAAGGTGGGGCCCTTGTGCCTCCCTCCCCACAACTCGGCTCAGGGCAAATGAGATGTTTTACCTCCATCTTATGAACTGGATTCTCGTTCTTTCCTCCAGGACCTCTTGACTCTGGTTTGCCAACAAATCAGACTTTGAGAGATGGTGCTTCACCTAGGAAACCCAGGTAGGGTGCATGTGACTACTGTCCAGCAAGGACTCCCTGGGAAGGGTGGGACCCAGCCTGGACAAGCTCCACCCACTTGCCCAAGACCCTTTTCAATTGGACATTGTGCATGTCTGCCTATCTGCCCACTCCCCTAGGATGATTGCCTCAAACTCTCAATTACCACATCTCTGGTCACATGTACATCTTGGCCATGCGTGGGAGGGCAGTTGGTCGACATCTTCTCCTTTATGTCCTGGGAAGCCTCTTCTTCAGTCTGAAAGGTGAGTAATTTCCCCTGAAAGCGTTGCTCTGTATCTCTTCTTCCTTCTCCCTGTTTTCCCTACACATGCTGTGTGTCTTTTCGTACACACTCTATCTCTCAAAGTTCCATAGCAAGCTTATCTGTAGAATTCTAGGGGATTCATTAAATCCTTGGCCCTATCCCAAGATACTGCTGAGATGCCCAGTAGCTGGAGGTGACACATCTGAAACTTCTCATCCAGTATCCTTGAGAAGCAGGGTGGGGATAGTGATGATTCCAACACATCTCTGATGAAGACACAAGCCCCAGCATCTTCTAGGAAATTTGGTGAATTAGACACAGCTCTAGGTAAGGTGTTTGGCAATGAACTTGAGTTTCCCAGGTTTAGGAGGAAAGGAGTCCAGATTCCTGCACCCGCTGAGGCCAGCGCTCTAGAATTTGGGGTACCCTGAGTCATAGAGAAATCTTACTCACCTTTTTCAGCCAGTGCTGTACTACAGATACAGCCTCACTTTCTACAACTTCAACGTCCTGTAACAAATTGGTAAGTTAATGCCCTCAGAATACCTAGAGAACCAGCCCTCCTCCTCCATTCTTATTCAAAGTTATGTTATAAGATCTCTTTGGAAGTGCAGTAGGGGGCTCAGAAGGGAGGAGATGGATGAGAAACAATTCCAGGTAGCTATCCCAAGCTCCACCTACCGAACTGCTTTTTGGTGGGAAGGGGAACCCTGCACCTTTCCGGGCAAGAATGTACACAATCCATGTTGAAATTATCATCTTTGGACTTATGCCAGGCCTCCTTCTTGGCTCCCTCCTTCCATTGAAACTGCTGAAGAACTCCTCTGGAACAAGGAGGTCATTGACGGGAGGTGCTCACCTGATTGGCTGACCAATGATGATGTGACAATGGCCTCCTTTAATCTCCTGGGTCAAAGTGGAGCTGGAAAAAAGAGGTCAGTAAGTATCTGCCTGAGTGATGGCTCAGAAATGGAGAGATGGGGGGATGGAAAGAAAAACAAGATATAACCAATATAAACCTGAAGAAGACACATGGGGGAAATTATCAAAATCATAGAGATTTGATTGGGGCAGGGGGATTATGTCTGGTTACCCTGTTTTGAGCAATGCTGAAGCATAAAGAGATTTTTATAAATCAAAAGAATAAAGTTGTAACAAAATGATCTGAGCCCTCTAGACATTTATGCAAACAATACCACAGGTACTTCTTATTCTTACATGTAAGGAAAGAATCTGTCCACCCCAAAAAAATCAAAGATGGAAGAACAAAATTCTCAACAAGGATATTTTCTTGTTTTTTTTTACTCTGTTTACACCAGTGATTCAAATCATAAAAAAAATAACCCAAACGATAAGAGTGAAAGCGCCATTTCTTATTTAAAAAAAAAATATATATATATATATATATATTTCCTGATGATATATATATATATATTT